TTAAACTTCAGCTACTGTGCTGTACTCCTCTCCTGCAATGTGAGCTTTATTCTGGCCTCTCAATAACGGAGTTGTTTTCATTTTAGCCAGCGCCCTGGGCATTGCTGAGTTGACTTGACGACTGGTTTAACCCTTTAATCTCTGCATAGGTCTTGCTACTCTTATTGGCAGGGAGGGATGTACACTTGGCATGTTAGTCTAACTGCTGTTACTTTGTAATCCTTTTCTTGATGGGAGTGATAGAAGTGGGGGGGGGAAGCTGTTGCCTATAGCAACATGATCTGGCTGTGTTTTCTCCGTACCAGGATTTAAAAAAAATGACATTTCCAATCTAATTTAGCTTAAATTAGTTTCCTTTGCTCCCTCATGGAGTATGGAGGACACTTCACTTGCCCCTTTACGTTTAAATGACATAGGTGATGCATAGAAGTAAGTGCTGCTGAAGAAAAAGCTGTTGCCCATAGCAACCTGATCATCTGTATGTTTTCTAACCTGTTCTAGGGGAAAAAGTGCAAACGGATTACTTTTGCTGCACTTTTTCTTTGTTCCTATGACGGGGGTTGGCAATGCCGACCCTTCAGCTGTGCTTTAACTATAAAGCCCAACATGCGTCTGGGAGTCGTGCCTGTAACTGTCAGTCTTGCAATGCCTCATGGGACTTGTAGTTCCACAACAGCTGGAGGGCCACCTCTGCCCTATGGAGTACGGGGGACATTTGTCTCTTAAATAACATGGTTGTGAGGGGATGTTGAAATAACATAGGTGTGAGAGGGGGTTTAAGTAAAATAAGCCATTGCTCATAGCAACCAGAGCATCTGTATGTTTGTTTGTTTTTTCTAACATGTACCAGGAAAACAAATCTTGCAATCTATTTAGTTTTCTGCCCTTTTTCTTTCCTCTATGGGGTATGAAAGTCACTTGCCTCTTCATGATGTTTAAACATCATAGATGATGTATAGAAGTGATGGAGTGCTGAAGAAAGAAAAGCTGTTGCCCATAGCAACCACAAAATCTGTATGTTTATCATGAACCAGGAAAAAAGAAATTGCACAAAAATTAGTTTTCTGCACTTTTTTCTTTCATCCTTTTTATTGAGTAGGAAAGACACTTGCCTCTTTGTGGTGTTTTAAAGAACATAAAAGTGTGAGGAGGGTGTTAAAGAACATAAAAGTGTGAGGAGGGTGTTGAAGTAATATATGTCATTGCCCATAGCAACCAGAGCACCTGTGTTGTTTACCAGGAAAAAATTTACATTTGCCATGTGAATAGTTGTCTGCACTTATTTGCTCCTCTGTGGTGTATGTAGGACACTTGTCTCTTCCTGATGTTTTAAACAACATTGATCATAAGTGAGAGGGTGTTGAAGAAATATGCCATCACCCATAGCAACTAGAGTATCTTTTTTTTTTTTTTTACCTATACAAGAAAAAAAAATGGTATCTGTAATTTAGTTGTCTGCACTTATTTGCTCCGCTATGGTGTATGGAGGTCACTTGTAACTTCCTGATGTTTTAAATGACAAAGGTGATGCCTAGAGGTGAGAGGGTGTTGAAGAAATACACTGTTGCCCATAGCACCCAGATAACTTGTATGTTTATGAACCTGTACCAGGAAAAAGTGACTTTAGCAATGCGATTAGTTGTCTGCATTTATTTGCTTCTCTATGGTGTATGGAGGACACGTGTTTAAACGACATAGGTAATGCCTATAAGTGAGGGGTGTTGAAGAAATAAGCCATTGCCCATAGCAACCAGTGCATCTGTGTGAGTTGTGTTTGTGTCCTTGTTTTTAAACCTGTACAAGAGAAAAAAGTGAAATTTGCGATCAGATTATTTGTCTGCCCTTTTCCATACTCCATAATGGAGCAAAGAAAGCCACTTAGCTCTCCATTGTCATGACAAGTACCACATACCAGCAGTGTCTTACCTATAGCACTCTCTTCTATGGTCAGTCCTCACTGAGCTCTTTTCACACAACTATATACAGGGAAGCAGCTGTCATAATCTAGTCTTTTCTTACAAGGTTGGGAACAATGTCCAACATATGGCAACAGATGTGGAAATTAGTCATTAAACAATCCGCAGGAGTGCTAAGAGTTGAAAAGATGGGGGAATTCTAAACTATTAAGGTCTGCAGTGTGAAAGAATGAAAAATGCTGCTTACTAACACGGACCCATGAATACCATGAATAATGACCATTTCTGCAGTGCACAAAAGGCACATTCAGTAAAGGAATGCCTGTCAAGAACCCATACCACGTTATATGCACAGCTAATCCCCCCCCCACCCAAAAATAAAAAATAATAATATATATAATCCTTTATAAATTGTTTTGCCATCGTGAAAACGGCTTAAATCCCCCATGATCTTGCAGCAGCCTATTGATGTAAAAGTCTAAATTCAATGTGACGTTTCCTGGGCTTTGCCCCTGTCTTTTCTTCTTCCTAATTAAAGGTGGGAGGCATAGACAAGGGGCTAGCTGTAAACTCCGAGGCAAGAAGACACGCCATCCTCTAGCCGTTTATTCAGAGAGCGGGGCACAAATGAGGAACTGAGTCTCTCTAATATGTAACCTATTTGGCTTTGTAGTTGTTTAAAGCTGAACTCCAGGCAAACAGATGAAATCTAAGAGAACAGGTTCAGCTGCCAGTGGGTTTGAATCTGTCCATCCAGTCCTGAGATTGACAAAGCTTTGCCACACAACACAGCCTTGTTTAGCAGGGGAAGGACCTGCTTTTCTCTGCTGCAGTTGAACTTGCAGATCCCTGTGACTGGATAGTCAAGAGAAGCTTATGCGTGCAACCTCTGTTCTCTTCTCCTTGCATTGCAACACACCTGATGGGTGCTTTGTGCCGCTTCTTTCACCCCCCTTTCTGAGCTTTGCTGTTCAAGACTGCAATAAAGTATAGGCATAACTTACTTTTTGTTTTGTAGAGCAGGGAAGGGTTAAAACCTCCCATTTTTGGAATTGCTGTATCATCCTGGGAATAATCCAAGCTCTCCATCTATCCTGTTGGTTATTGAAAAAGAAAATAAGTGTATTTTTTAATGCACGCAGTCTAGAAGAATTCCCTTTTACTTCCTGTTGTGGAAACAGAACAGGAAATAAGGAAATCTCTACAAAGTGAGGGAAATCTCTCCCTAACACACTGTCCCCTTGTGAAAGATTCTCCCTCCTATTCCTTTAATGGGGACACCTGTAAGATTTGACTTCCCATTTTAGGGCTCATTCACTCCAGCAGGCACGCATTATGCTCTGTATAAAGTGTGGCCGCTGGTGTGGTGGTACAACGCATTGCACTGTTTGCTTTAAAAAAAAAACTTTTTTGAAATGTGGCAAAATGATTTAATTCACCTCTGCGTTGCAGTGTGTTCACACATCGCTGCATTGCTGAAAACGCGCTGCATTGCTGAAAAACAAACAAACATTATTGCGCTCTGCATGTGAACTGACACAACCAGATTGTCTTATGAATGCATTGGGCAACGCTGCTGGTGTGAATGAGCCCTTAAAGTGGAAGTACATCCTAGAATTTATCTATGAACACTAAACAGCTATATAACATGGACCTTGATGCATGCATAGCGCCATGTTTGAAGTCTGTCCGTGCTCAGGTAGTCCAGCAATCAGCATTGAAAACAGAGGTTAAACTTGATGTACCTGTGTCTTTTATCATCTCTTATGTACCTGAGGGTCATATAGCAGCAATACTTTCAGTTGTGGTGTCACCCTCCCCATCTTTTATTGTAAAGCCTGGCCGGGAAATGCTTCCTCTGTCCCCTGATGCTGGCAAGGGAGACTCAGCGACACATAAGTTGCATACTTGGTGCTATGGGGCAAAAATGCATGATTCTGAAAGAAAGGCACTGTTCATTTTTAGGCAATGGGCACCTTTGACAATAATGGTGTTTGTCCTGCTGAGCATTGTTGCATTTTTGGGAACGCACAACAAAAAACGTAGGTGTAAATGGGTGTTAAGGATGCATTGGCCCCTATTCATCTCAATGGGTTGCCCTACGTGCGGCAAAGACATCTTAGTAAATGACCTTCTTTATATGCATAGGACATGTGAATAGGGCTTCAATGGCCCCATAATATGTTCCAAGCAAGATGCATGACAAGCGTGCAAAGCTCGGAATGGTGCATGAACTTCTTTTAACATTCATTTCAACAAATTCACAAAGTGTGTAATGGAGCTTTAATGGCCCCCATAATGGGTATCAAGCAAGCTGCATGACCGACTCAAGTAGCTCAGAAAGGTACATGGTCTTCTTTGCCATACATAGCCCAGATGTAGGCAACCTTGGCACTTGAGATGTACTCAAACTACAAATCCCGTCATGCCTGTGCCTGTTAGTCTTGCAATGCCTCGTGGGACTTGAAGTTCCACAACAGCTGGAGTGCCAAGGTTGTCTAACCTTGGGGTAGCTCATTAATTTGGACAAACTCTGCTTGTGAGGTATCACTTGTGGAGCTGAACTGTAATGTTTGCTTCAAGTTTCTTCTTACACAGCTCGTCAGCTCCAACTTGTGAACTCTCCTCGTCCCCCCCCTCTATTATGTGTTCCTCCCCCTAATGGTGTATCCCGGTATGAGAAGCTTATTGTGCTCGGAGGAGACATGCAGCAATATATATCCCCCCTTCTCCACCGCACTTGGTACTGCCCCTCCCTTCGGAGGACTTGTCATAAGTCTTATAATTCCCCGCGCTGTGGTCGGTTCCAGTAGTGTCGTCGTCCCGGGGGGTGGGGGTG